TAAAAAGTAAACAGATATCTAGGAATGCCAAAATAAGGATTTACAAAACACGTTATACAACCAGTGGTAACCTACGCCAGTGAAGTGTGGACACTGAACAAAGGCGAAACAGGTATGCTCGAAATATGGGAAAGAAAGGTTTTGAGAAAGATATTTGGAGGCAAGATAGTAGACAATACATGGAAAAGAAGAACAAATAAAGAATTAGAAGATATGTACAAGAATCCTAGTATAGTGGGAGTAGTAAAGGCTCAGAGACTCAGGTGGCTAGGGCACATAGAAAGAATGACAAATTCTCGAGTACCAAAAATGATTCTGATGCATACAATGGGTACAAAAAAAAGAAGAGGAAGGCCGAGAAGTAGATGAAAGCAAGAAGTAGAGAAAGACCTAGAAACACTGGGAATAGAAAGACGGAAGGACAAGGCTAATAATAGGAAGAAATGGAAAACAATAACAGCTCAAGCCATGGGCCTACTAGGCTCGTAGTGCTATTATATATATATATATATATATATATATATATATATATATATATATATATACTTGAGATAACAGCGTTAATTCCTAGGATTGCAGATTAATTCTAATACAGATAAGAAAGACGGCACCAAGTTGAGAAAAGTCCAGAATGTGGGTTTAGAGGATATCCCAGAAATAACAATCGAAGAAGTCTCAAAGTCATTAAATCCAATGAAAAACAATAAAGCAGCTGGTGATAACCAAATCGTTATTGAGGAAGTTAAAGCAGGAGGAAAGACAGTATTGAAATCATTGACACAATTATATAATTTATGCCTTTCAAAAGAGGTTACACCATCTCAGTGGAATAAAGCTGTTATAGTAGTCATGCAGAAAAAGGGAGATATAACAGAGCTAAATAACTATAGACCTACTAGCTTGTTATCTAACATTTATAAGTTGTTTATGAAGATAATAACTAATAGGTTGACATCAAAACTAGAGTTCTATCAACCCTGCGATCAAGCAGGATTTAGAGCTGGATACGGAACAAATGATCATTTGCAAACTATTAAGTCGTTAATTAAAAAAACCATTGAATATAATAGACCGCTGATACTTGTCTTTGTCGAGTTTGAAAAAGCATTTAAGACGGTCAATCAAAGTGAAATGCTCCAAGCTCTAACACAATGTAGAACAGATCACCGATACATATCTCTCATCAGATACATCTATCAGTATGCTACAGCCTGTATAAGACTTAACGAAGATACTGGTACCTTTCGTATTGAAAGAGGCGTTCAGCAAGGAGACAACGTGCCTCCTAAATTATTTACAACTTTGCTAGAATACACTTGTAAAACAATAGATTGGAACGAACAGGGCGTCAATGTAGATGGAAAATGTTTAAATTACCTTAAATTTGCAGATGATATCGTTCTTATTGTAGACAGCTTTGATCAGGCACAGATAACTCTCCAAGAAGACTTGGTCTTAAAAATAAATTTTTCAAAAACACAATTCATGATAAATTTAGTCCACAACAAAAACATCTCAGTAGAAGACAAAGATATTGAGTCTGTTGACTCCTATAAATACTTGGGCCATGAGATCAGATTAAGTCGAAACAACCAAACAATCGAGCTGAAAAGAAGAATAAACCTCGATTGGGCTGCATTTGGAGAGATGAAGGATATTTTTAGGTCTAAGATTCCAATGTGTCTGAAAAGAAAAGTATTTAATCAGTGTATTTTGCCAGTGATGACCTACGGCGCAGAAACCCTAAAACTTACAAGAACAACAGTGAGTAAACTTCAAGTTGTGGAAAGGGCAATGGAGAGAATAATGTTAGGGATTTACATACGCAAAAGATCAGGAGTAGCAGACGTTATTGAAAGGATATATATAATAATAATAACGGATTGATTACGGCTCTCGCGTTTCTCCGCCCCCAGTTTCCATCTTTTTCTGCCATGTTCAGTTGCCTCTTCGAAGTCTCTTGCCGCCATTGCTTCATCAATATCGTTGCGCCAACTTCTCCGTGGTCGTCCTCTCTTCCTTTCTTTTTTTTTTATTGAAAGGATCACAAAACTAAAGTGGAACTGGACATCTCATGTAGCAAGATCAGTTGATGACCGATGGACAAAAAGAATTTTGGAATGGGGACCCCGAATACAAGCCAACAGAAATAGAGGTCGACCTAATACTTTCAAACAGTTATGGATATAGTATACATCCTTGCCTAATATCTTGTTCTGAATGGAATTTTGTTGATAGCATTTCAAACACTTTTACTTTCTCTTTATTTCTAATTTATTTAGGATATTACATTACCGTCACTTCTCGATTATATTTCTTATATTCAAAACGTGTAACTTTACCTCTAGTCTATTATATATTCGTGAAGCGTTACCTTTGCCAAACTCGGCCTGTTCCTCTATTTGTGTTTGGAGAAAAGTTTTCAGAGTATCATTCATGATTTGTAGAATTACCTTGCTGACACGTGAGATTAGAGAAATAGTTGTATAATATTCACACTTACGAAAGCTGCCTTGTTTTGTGCAGTATTGCGATTAAAGAGTGCGTTAAGTCAGCGGGCCACTGCCTGTCATAAGTACCATATTTGATTGCAGAGGACGTGAAGTAATTTGATTCCGATTTCATTTGTTTTCTTGATCGTTTCTGTTGTTTACCGATCTGGGCTTGGTGCCTTATTTAATTAAGTTGATCTTAACTGCTTATTCTATATAGACCTTGGCAATATGATTATCTGCAATATTCTCTCTATTTGTTCCCAGAATTTCTGTCTGGTCTTTGACCCACGTTTTGGCTTCATAGTCATTGCATGTATCGTATTTTTCAGATCTCTGTGCTAATTGCTTTGATCGTGGCTCTTAATTTTCTTGCATATATTATTGTAATATTCTTGTTTGTTAGTTTGCACCTCCGTTTGATTTCTTGAGGTTTCTCAAATTAGTTTTTTTACACATCACCCAACAATCGTAGGGAAGGTGTTAAAAAGGTAGTGAAATTATTAATAAAATTAAATACGTAGATGATAACGTCATAATGGTAGAGAGTCTAGAAGATATTTAGACTCTGTTAAACGCAGTAAACAATGAAGGTAAAAAAGGCTTCATCATCAACATAAAGAAAACGAAATGAAGAGTGGTCGGATAAATTAATATTGAAGACTAAGTCCTAAAAGTAGATTAAAAATCGTGAACAGAGTGGAACACTTTAGTTATCTAGTAAGTTAGATTAACTGCAGGGGTAACAGCAACGAGGACATTTCGACCAGAATAGAACTGGTATGTAAAAGCTTCATTAGATGGCGTTTTGTATTAGCTGCAATAGTCTCTAGTTGAACAGGCGTCTAAGTGCTAAGGAATTACATCTGGTCAACTTTACTTTAAGGATGTAAGACCTAGAAAATAAAAGACACAAATCTGACTAAACTGACAGCGATTGAGTTGTGGTATTACCGCCGTATGCTCAAAATTCCGTGGACAGCACATATCTTTAAAGAACGTGTATAGAAACCATGTACAAAGAGCGAGAAGAAGCAGATAAGCGGTAGCTCAAAATTATATCTTTTGCTAGGTAATTCATTGTCATTTATAGCTCTATATACTGTTTTTAGGCCTTTTCTTTTAAAAACTCATAATAGATTCTTTCATTAAAAACTTCCTAGTGGATCCCTATCGTTTTAAGTAAGTCTCCAAGCCTTACATAAAAACTTATCTTAGCGGAGTTATAGATTTTAATATTTATACTTCTCGAGATATTCGTTGATTTTAGTTGTTTTAGTAAAATAATGTAGCATCTATTAGCAAAAAGAGTTTGTCTATTGATCTTTTTTTATTAATATCTATTCTTTGTTTCACGTTAAGAAAATAACATTACGCTTATGGAGATCAGTGTTGCCAAAACTCTCAGACACTCTCTTTTGCACGGATGTCCAAGATATTCCCTTTGCTTAATTTTTGAATTTTCATTTTCAATTAATATTTAACTGTAAAGTCAGAATAACTACTAAATAAAAGTCTTATTATCATTATGTAGTCAGAGACGACATAAAATAGCTGACATACGTACATCGTATTATTTTAAGTTGCAATTAGTAATTAGATATACGCATTCCAAGCGGTCAATATTTTCTACTGATTTATATGATTCATGGCATATCGTATTCTCACCGAAAAACAAATAAACTGTCGTTACTATAATTAAAATAAGATAAAATAAAATTATCTTTTGTAAATACTATTTATCTAATTAAAATCATTTTCCCTACTTTTCATCTCTTGTTTCGAATGGGCACTTTTGGTCAATTACGTTAAAAAACATTAATTTAAATGTTTGTGGAAACGAAAATACAAATTATACAAACCTAAATTGTGCTTGTGCGTGTCGTGGCAACGCCGTGTTGCTATCGTCCATAAGAAATACATGGTCCTATCTCCGCAATGTTATTTTCTAAACGTGAAACGTAGTATAGAACTAAGGTATAGAAAATTATGAGCAACTTCGATGGTTTGTCCATTTATAATTTAGTTCTGCACCTGTCTTTTCTACTATTTCTAATTTCTAAAGTAGTTTCTACTGCCATACTTCTGTATATTTTGTTGTTTGGATGTCTATTAAAGCATTCTAACTGTGAGACTCCTTCTTCTGCTTCAAATTCAGTTCCCCCCATAATGTCTATGTTATCTGCATATGCAAGAAGTTAGATGCTCTCTTATTAAATTTTGTGCCATTGGTATAAGAAAATTTTAATTTGTTTGTTCATGTTTACCTATTTTTTTCAATTTTATTTAAATAAGTGATTTTTATCGCTACCTACTTTAATCAAATAAAATACTATAGACCTATTAGGTTGAATTTTAAAAATTAAAAAGGTAAAATTATAATGTCGGTCCACATTCCCACATTATTTGCACCATAAAACATTATAATATATTTTACCACCTCTTATATTTTTGATTGGTAATCATCTTGAAAATTGCTTAACATAATAACAATTAAATCCATTGTTTAGTTTTATTTTTAGTGTATCGGTATCAAACTTTAATTCGAAATCCCATAATGTGGTTACGGAAAATTATATTGTTTCTTAGTAATGTTATTTTTTCAAATAATTTCTAACGAACAATAAATTATTTGCTGAAATTGTGTTGTAGTTCATAAACGATTATGCAACAGCTAAAATAGTAGTTGTTATTTACGGAAATGTTATGCTTTGTAAGTAATAAAAATATTTTTCATTTGTTATAGTTTGAATACAGTCAATGCACGAGACAATATAGGATAGTTATAAAAGTAATGCAGATTTTTTTAAATGGAGAACCAGGGGACTTTTAGGACTTTATTACGAAATAATATTCAAGTCATTATTTCTACACTTGCAGGTAAATTTTGAAATTATTATATTTAAGCATACCTATATCATTCTTTTATACTTTATTATTTTACGATTTTTTTTCATTTATATTAAACGGCTTGCATATAAACCAAGTCATTGTAAATTCTGATCTGGTACTCTTCTGACACTTCTGATCATTTTTTAAAATATATCCTGTATGTATATATATTTTTTTGATGGCACGCTATATACATTATAATCTCCTTACTTATCTTACTTCGTTTTATCTGATGTGCTAGAATTCGGCTAGTTGTTTATGTTGTTCTCAGTGAGAGACTAAGGTCGATAAAGCATATTTACTGCTGGACTGTAAAATTATGCACAATAAAGTGCATGTGAACACATAATTAGGATAAAAAATATCAAAAGAGGTCTACGTATTGAAAAAATAAAAATACTACAATAAATAAAAAATTGTCTAAATTAGCAAATCAACTTGATAGCTGTACAAAAAAAGGAACAACGAAACAATGTCGATACGAAATTTTTAAGAGTGATACACGCTCTAAATCATTTAAAGGCAATGCATTTCATTTTATTTTTCATTTAATTGTCTAAAAACTTTCTTTATAAACAATGTTATTTTTTATTAAATACATAATTTATTTAACAAATATTTCTTTATAAATTTATAAACCAGTGATGTATGGGATATAATATATATATATATATATATATATATATATATATATATATATATATATATATATATATATATATATATATATATATATATTGGATTTGAAATTTCCGCGGGAGCTATATGTGATTTCAGTTGTTTTCCGGGTTTGACTCCGCGTTAAATAGTTTTGGTGAGGAGGCTTATGATCTGAAAGTTACTTGAGGTGCCCTGGGTAATGAGACACCTCCTGTGTTTAATTACTGTGGTTATGCCACCTGACTGTAGGGGTAGCCACATCTAGGCTTTTCTCCCTATTTACTTTACTGACTCTATAGATTTTACTCTAACTTCACTTCGGGACTGGAGTCCCTAAAAAAAAAAAAGAAAAAGAGCGTGTGTTCCGTCCATGAAGCCGACAGCCTGGGCTGTCGACTTCATGTCCGGATAAAAGTGTGTGCTCGGTCACTCAGCCGCCGATTTGGCAAAAGTAAATTTTGTTCTCCTCGCCGCGCGCCGCTCCGGCTGGGCGCCCGAAGTGTGTCCAGCCACCGAGCCCATGCTTGCCGCACATGACCTCAGTGCTCGGGTGTTGCGAAAAGGATCAGCATTCACTTGATCCGCCTTAAGGGCCTAATCCGCATCAGCGGTATATAGAAGGCCTGACGGGCCTTCTATATAGAAAAATAGGATGAATTTTACGTTAAAACGTTTAATGAATTGAAATTGATTTTTTGAAGTTCTGAATTTAAAAGAAAAACGACCGATTTTTTTTTTTTTGGGTTTGGGGGTCTTCTTTGGCGTTGGGACTATAAAATGCCAGCACAATTCTTACGCACAATTCTTACCCTTTTATTCTTACATGCTAATTTGTGTGGGTGCGTTGGGGTGTGCATTGCAGGGCGTATATGGCCTCCACACACCCCGGTGTATATTGTCCTTAACTAAGTGCCTTGGCACCTGTATCCTCTCGCCAGAGTCCTAAAAATAGATATTTTTTGGTGGTTGTTTTTCTGATGACTGCATTCTTTTATTTGACGTCTTTGCGACCATCTCATTCTTCATTTATTCGTTGGGGAACCTATATCCGGCTATTTGCTGTTTAGGTCTTCTGTGTACCGTCCTGGTATTTGCGTTGTAGTTAGTCAGCTCTCTTAACATGCTACTTGGGTGGTTGTTTAGTCCGTTGAATAGTTCGTATGCCTTTTTGTCCATTGTGTAAAGGATCCTTGTTTATCCTGAGTCTCTGTATAAATTTCTCAGAGGTACATATCTCGGTAAGTTCAGGGCATCTCTTATTAGTTGATTTTGTGCTGTTTGTATTTTTTCCTGTTTGTTTTACAGGTGTGTCCCCACGCAGCAGAGGCATACGTAAGGACTGGCAGGATAATACTATTCGCAATCCTGATTTTGGTTTTAAACCTTAGCTTACTTCTTCTACCAATAAGCGTTGAGAGCTGATTTTTTAGCGCTTTGGCTCTATACGTTTGCCGATTTATGTGCTGCGCAAAAGTGAGTTTTTTGTCTAGTAACACTCCTAGGTATTTGGCCTCGTTTGTCCATTCTACTGGGGTGTTCCCAATCGTTAGTTCTCGGTTCGGTACACTTCTTTTGTGACCAAACATTACAGCCTGTGTTTTATCCGGGTTTAAGGCTATTTTCCATTTGATGCACCATCTTTCGAATCTATTAAGTGCTTTCTGCAGATGATTAGCTGCATGATCTGGATTTCTCCAGCTAACAGCTATTGCTGTGTCGTCGGCGTAAAGACTCAACAGGGAACCTGGTTCTTTTGGCGTGTTGGCCGTATATATGGTATACAGGTAAGGCGACAGAACAGCTCCCTGAGGCACACCTGATTCCAGGGTCCCGACTTCGGACAGAGTTGCCCCCGTTCGGACCCTGAACCTTCTGTTGGCTAGGTATGATCCAAGGAGGCATGTCATTGCCTCACTGTATCCCATATAGTTCATTTTGTAAATGTGTCCTTCACGCCAGTCCCTGTCAAATGCTTTACTGACGTCCAGAAATGCTGTTGGCGTATACATTTTTTCGTTGTAGCCTTTTGTTGTAAGTTCAGTAAAACGTAGAACTTGTAGTTCGCGTGAATGTTCGCTTCTGAATCCAAATTGAGCTTCTGGTATGATGCCTAGTGCTTCCGATTCGTCGTTGAGTCTTTTTAAAATAACTCTTTCCGCTATCTTGCTTATTGATGATAGTAGGCTGATAGGTCTGTAATTTTGCGAAAAAATGCCATCCTTACCTGGTTTTTTAATCATGATAATTTGTGCCTCCTTCTATCTATCTGGAAAATATCTTAGTTTGGCATGTTGTTTACAATGTTCGTTATGTAGACAGTAGCTTTGTTGGGTAGATTTTTTAGTGCCCTGTTTGTGATGTTGTCAGGTCCTGGGGCTTTTTTGGAGTTTGTTAGTTTTATTAGCTCTTTTATTTCTTCAGGAGATGTATGTGTTATTCCTACTCTGCCCTTTCTTCTCTTTAGTCTGCTGGCTGTTCTTTCTACCTCTTCTTCGAAGTCTATGTCTTCATTGGGATTTTCGTTATTTCTACATGCCCTTTCTAGTTCGTCCTTTAGGACTTCAGCTTTGTCTATTTCCGTGTGGACAATCCCGTTTACTCCATGTAAGGGAGATATGGGTTTCTTGTCCTGTCGGAGGATTTTCGATAATTTCCAGAAGGCGGATTTGTTAGGGTCTAATTCTTGGATATAGTTGTCCCAGCTTTCATTTCTGTGATTTCGTAGTTGTCTTTTAACTTCCCTGTCTAGCTCATTTGCAATCCTTTTATCTTCTACTGTTCTAGTACGATAGGCTCTTCTTCTTTTTCTGTTTTTTTCGTTAATTAAGTCTTGTAGCTCCTGACTTATATCTCCGAATCTTCCTTTTTGTCTTGTGATTGTTTCGGTTTTGGAGCTGGCATCGATAGCATTAATTATAGTTTCTTCTAGTTTGGTTACGCTGTCTTCTAGTTCTGTGATGTTGTTTATTGTTGGAATGTTACCGATGTTTTCGCCCACAATTCTTCTAAAGTTTGGCCAACTTGTTATCTTTCTTTTGTGGGGCTGCGAATAGTTTAGTTCTATTGCGCCCAGGGTCAGGACGATTAGATTGTGCGTCGAATCGCCTTCGTTTAGATGTGTAGGGAGTTGTCCGTGAAAACAGGTCGGGTCTGTTGGTCCGATCACGTAGGTGTTTGGTCTATTTTCGACATGGCCGCAAAGTCGTCCCCCGTTATTGTTGGTCGCTCTATCGAACCAGTTGGGAGATCTCGCATTAAGGTCTCCTATGATTACCGTGGGCTCTTCTGTGTCGAGGATTAGGCTCAAATCTTCATCTAATATCGGTTCGTTAGGTCTGACATAAGCTGACACTATTTTTAGTGTTTCGTTGTTGGCCTTTAGTCTTACTAGCGTGGCTTCCATTGTGACCAGTCCGCCTGGTGTTGGAATGTGTTCATGTTCTATGCCTTTTTTAACTAGTATGGCTGTTCCTCCTGATCTTGCTCTATGGTCAGTTCTATAGATATTGTAGCCTGGAAATTTGGTTTTCTTCCTTTCCACTAGTTTCGTTTCTTGAAGAGCTACGATATCGAGCTCTAATCTATTTATCATTTCGTCCAAAAGGTTGAGTTTTTGGAAAATTCCACCGGAATTCCAGGACCCTATGCGTAGATCTTCCGTATGGTTCGCTAACATTGTCGATTTATTTCTCCGAATGCAGTCATCATTTTTGTGGCCCTATCCATCACGGACATCATCTTCATCATTTTCTTATTGTATTCCGTCTATTGTTCTGGGGTTTTCTTGGCTGCTTGTGCGTAGCTGAAACCCGTGGTTGTTGTTGTTGGGTTGAGTGGTCTGCCCGCCGGTTTTACGGGGGCAGGCATCTTTTTTGGAGCTTTTGAGCATCCTCTGTAATTGGCCGTATGCGCCTGTTCGCAGTTGGCGCATTTTGGAGCCGTTTCTTTGCTTTTTCCGCACTCATTGCTGAGATGGTTTTCACCACACCTTACACATCTGGAGTCGCAGTGGCAAGCCTTTGAACTGTGGTAATAACCCTGGCAGTTGAAACACTGTAAATGTTTTGTAATTTCTGTTCTTTTGGCTTTCCTCCGCAACCAGACGTAGAAGGGGCGGCGATTCCCATCCAGGGTGGGCTTCCTGGTCTGGTTATTTCCCAGATGACTTCGTCTCTTCTCTTTTCTTCTAGCTCTTTCCTTTCATTTCTTTCGATCAGAGCCATTATATGGCCGACCAGCTTCTTGATTTCTTCGTCCTTGGCCTTGTTTTCTTTCCTTAACTCAGTCATCTGAGTTAGGAGGTCTTGTATTTGGGCATTTGCCTGTTT